TGAACTGCTGCAATGATTTGAGATATAACACAGTCTCAGGTAGGAAGGAATCATGGAGGAAAAGCCCAAGCATTGATGTCATAGGTGTTGTACAACTGCTTATACATTGGACAAAACGCAAAGAAACCCAGCAGAAACTCGCAGAAGAAGCATAGTAGCCAATGAAAAGATTTAATAGCCCCATTGGACTAAGAGACAAGAGGCTGGTGCTTGGCGAGGAAGCCAGCATCCCTGGTTTATAGCTGAGGGCCCCGATCCACTGTATCCAACCTGTGCTCAGGAGAAATTAAATGTTTCTTAAAAGATAATGTCATTTAAGGGGCTGGGAAGGTAGCTCAGCGTAGAGTGCTTACCTCACATGTATGAGGCCCTAGGTTTGATTCCTCAGCACCCTATAAACAGAAAAGGCTGGAAGTGGCACTATGGCTCAAGTTGGTAGAGTGCTAGCCTTGAGCTAAAGAGCTCAGGGATAGTGTCCAGGCTTAAAGTTCAAGCCTGGCCAACCAAAAAATAAGATATGTCAAGTTTTAGTTTGTGTAGTCATGTTGCACATAAAAATAGGGTAGGCTAAAAAAATGAAGTAATATTGTCCTACAGATTGTATATATAAAAACTAAATATCCACAAGATTACCACTATAAGTTTTCAAAATAGAAAATAATTGCATCTGTCCCAAGGGACAATCAATACGGGATTGATTAAATATATTATGCATATTTATAGAATGTGGTAGTCTTCACACAGGCACTACCAGAGTTGTTTGAGGTAGGGCCATTCTTTATTGTATGATGCTCTTCTGGCCATAGCAGAACATTTTCTGTCTTCAGGGCTAGCACAATAAATCCAAGTTTTGAGACAAGTTAAAATGCTCTTACATATTGGTGTGCCTCTGGAGTGGTGTACTCTAGCTGAGAGCCTTCTCATCATGGAGGTCTGGGCAGCTCAGGAAAATGAGAGTGCTGTTCGTGGTCTGATATGGAGAAAGTACACAAGTGCGTTGCAGGGTTTCAGTGCAAGGGGCAGAGCAGTTGGCACAATTGGCTCATGCTGTATTTTAAGGAAGTAGGAAAATAACAACATAGGGTTATTTACATATGCACTTGGGATGCTGAGTATGTAGGGTATGAGTGAGGGTGGAGCTTAGTGGTAGAAAGTGAATGAGAATGTATGAAAGCTATTCAAATGTATATTTTTGGTATCTTTTCTTCTTCTTTTTTTTTTTTTTTGGAAACAAGGTTTACTGTGCAACCCAAGCTGGCCTAAAAGCTCACTGTGTAGCACAGGATGGTCTTGAATTTGTAATCCTTCTGCCTTAGCCTCCTGAGTGCTAGGGTTATAGAGAGAGAGAGAGAGACACACACACACACACACACACACACACACACACACACACACACACACACACACACACACACACACACACACGGGTTTTACAACACACACAGTGTCTTGGGTTTTGGAGCTTGAACTCAAGGTCTTGTGTGTGCTCATGGCTGGTGCCAAACTTTGGCCTGGCTTTTGACTAGTTATTTGGAAATGGAGTCTCAGACTTTCTGCATAGGGCTTGCTTGGTGCCTCAATTCTGGAGGTCTCAGTTCCCTAAGTAGTTAGATTACAGGTGCAGCCAGCAACCAGCTATTATTTTTATTTTTTTAATCTTTATTTTAAACATAGGTATAATTGCCTATTAAGGTATTTTATAATTTAAAATTTAAGTTTAAAGTATTGTGTTTTATATATAATACTTCTAATTATATAGTTTCCAAGATTTATATAAAATGTATATGCTTATTTTTTTAAGTTTTGATCTTTTTCAACCTTTTTCCTTTATCTTGGCTTTCATTTAGTGGAGTAGGACGGAACTGGGGCTGGGCATCTGCTGGTAGCAGTATCCTGGCTGAATTCGGCACACTGCACATGGAGTTTGTTCACCTCAGCTACCTGACAGGGGACCTGGTTTACTTCAGAAAGGTTAGTCACCCTTCTTCTCGTGTTTCTTTGTTTCAAGAGTCCTTGAAGAGTTGTCCAAAGCCCTTCCTATGTACACTTACCAGGATTCTGACCTTTGTTATTTCCCTACTTATAAATCATTCAAAGAAATCTCTTTCTCGGGGCTGGGAGGTGGCTCAGTGGTAGAGCGCTTGCCTTGCATGCATGAGGCCCTGGGTTGGATTCCTCAGCACCACATAAGCAAAAAGAAAAAAGCTGGAAGTGGCGCTGTGGCTCAAGTGGTAGAGCGCTGGCCTTGAGCTGAAGAGCTGAGAGACAGCACCCAGGCTCAGAGTTCAGGCCCCACGACCAGACCCAAAAAAAAAAAAAAAAAATCTCTTTCTCTACTTAGATAAATTATTAAATTATTAGTTTAGAGGTTAAAACCACCCTTAGGTTTAAAAAAAAATTCATTGAAATTTCTATCCAGTATTGTTCTGAAAGGTCCTTGCTAGTGTGGTAAGACAAAACCAAAGTGAACAAAGAGCTTAATTAATGAAAAGGAAGAAAGAAAATAATAATTCATAGATTACATGGCCATCTACCTAATATACTAGGGCAGTATACTCTTATCTTTATTTTTGGTGCTATGGATTGAACTTAGGACCTTGTACAAACTAATATTCACTCTACACCTGAGTATCCCTTGTGCCAGGCTCCATAGAAACAGGTTTCATATTTTTCCATAGGATATCAACTTTGACTTTCAAAATCAGTAGCATTTCTCTATACCAGCTATAAAAAGGGCAAGAAATATCATTTTTTAAAAAGATACTTTGTAAATTTCCCCACAAGCCAGTAATATTACCAGAGAGAAACAAGTTCAAAAAAAAAAAAAAAAACAAGTCCAAAACTTTACTGAAGGACATTGAAGAGGTCCTAAATAGGTGACAGGTGGATCACAGGCTGATGGACCAAAAGTCATGTTCTGAGAAGCTATGGAAGGAATCTTAGGAAAGCTGTGTTTGTGCCTGCAGACTGCTGAGGGGAAGGATGCAGCATTGCCAATCTAGTTGGCAAGGGAGAAGCAAAAGCTAAAAGCTATGTTTATATCAAGACTCAGTCTATTCTCTTTTATCAAAACTTTCTTATGAGTAACTGAGTGAACAAAAAGGAACATGAGGGGCTGGGAAGGTGGCTCAGTGGTAGAGCGCTTGCCTTGCATGCCTGAGGCCCTGGGTTCGATTCCTCAGCACCACATCAACAAAAAGAAAAAAGCCGGAAATGGCTCTGTGGCTCAAGTGGTAGAGCGCTAGCCTTGAGCTGAAGAGCTGAGGGATAGCGCCCAGGCCCAGAGTTCAGGCCCCACGACTGGACCCCCCCCCCCCCCCCCCCCCCGCCAAAAAAAAGAACATGAATAGAATTTATACAGACCTACCAGAACAAAGGAAGGAAGGAACATAAACAATAAATAATGGCCCAAAGTACTTACTAGAAAATAGCAATTGAGAGTCTGGGTTCAGTTCTCCATAAGGAAGAAGATAAGGGGCTGGGAAGGTGGCTCAGTGCCTTGCATGCATGAGGCCCTGGGTTCGATTCTTCAGCATAAACAGAAAAAGCTGCAATTGCGCTGTGGCTCAAATGGTAGAGCGCTAGCCTTGAGCTGAAAAGCGCAAGGACAGTGCCCAGGCCCAGAGTTCCAGCCCCATGACCGACCAAAAAACAAAAGAGGATAAGCCCTCATCTCTGAAGAACAAACAATAGGAACAAAGATGCAAGTGCTCAGAGACAACTAACCACACGGAGTTCAGGTTCAAAATGTATAAGAGACTTAGACAACAAAATCTAACAAAGGTAATAAAAGTAAACAAATTAAAAAGTGAAAAAGAAAATTGATACACAGGCCTGGGAAGGTGGCTCAGTGGTAGAGCGCTTGCCTTGCATGCCTGAGGCCCTGGGTTTGATTCCTCAGCACCACATAAGCAAAAAGAAAAAAGCCAGAAGTGGCGCTGTGGCTCAAGTGGTAGAGTGCTAGCCTTGAGCTGAAGAGCTGAGGGACAGTGCCCAGGCCCAGAGTTCAGGCTCCACAACTGGACACAAAAAAAAAGAAAGAAAGAAAAGAAAAGAAAATGATAAAGAAAATAACAAGGAGATAATTCAGTCTTCTACATAAAAATTTCAGGTGAAAAAAAGTTGTAATTATTTTCATCTTTTATAACACCCTTCAGAACAGTATGAAGTTGGTTCATGGAATTATTACCACTGAGAGTGTTGTAGATGATACTGGTCTCCAGTATGAAGGAACAGAGAATATCGATGATGTTCCTGAGCCCATTGCTAACGTTGTGCCATAACCAACTCCAGCCAGGTTAGCTGTGCTAAGACGCTGTGGGAAAGGATTAGCTTTGCAGCCAAGTATGGGAGAGAAAGTACTAAGGAAGTCATTTGTGTTAAGTAGGTTATCCATCTCATATAAAGAGAAAATGAATGTATTACCTATGCAGAACACTTCAGATACATTCTCTAACAAACAAGAGCAAGGACCAGAGCACCTGTGTTGCCATTCCCCCCCCCATAGCTGTTATCAAGTCTAACCTCCTAGAGGTAGTCACAGTCACAAAGCTCTTACCCGGGAAGGGGCTGCAGCTGCTAGCATGCCCCTCGGTGTTCTCCCCTCTGTCTTCCACAGCTCCTGTAGAGTTGAGACATATGTGTGAACGGAACAATATTTTTAAAGTCTAACAGTTTGGTTTTAATTGAGTTTCAGTAATTCAAATTTAACTTTTTTCAAATTTATACTTCTAATAGAAATGTTATGGTTACATTTCTATGAAATTATCTCTGTTCTTAAAGTTATTTCTGTTCTTATATTCAATATTATAAATTATACCTGTTCATAAATATGTTTATTATACTTGGAATAATACTTATCACTAAGGTTTCTGATAGCTGTTTCTGGATAGGAGGGTGTTGAGATTTAACAGATTTCTATCTGCATTTCTTTTCTTTGTTATACTTTTTTGTTTGATTCTAAAATTTCAATCATATATCTTACAAAAATAAGGAACCAGTCCTCCCACAAAAAGTTGTGTCTTTTGTTCCCGGTTATTGGACATGTAAGAATTGGAGGCAAAGACATGTGAATTTGGAGAAATCTAAGGCCAGCTTGCTCTCCAAGCTCAAGATCAACCATACTAAAAACTTTTACTGACCACCACACACAAAAAGGTAGACGTGGGTGTAATAGTTCTTAAGTAATAGAGGAAAAAGAGCAAAAGCTTAGGCTTTGTCAAGCTTTGATGACATTGATTTTGCTAATTGCATTCTTTATTTTGTTTAGGTCATGCATATCCGGAAATTACTTCAGAAAATGGACCGTCCAAATGGCCTTTATCCAAATTATTTAAACCCAAGAACAGGGCGCTGGGGTCAGTGTAAGTATTTCTAGTTCAATCGATGCTTTGTTTAAAGGTTACTTGAAAGCTGTGAGGTGTTAGAAACTTTGGCTTGGGTCTGCTCCTGTGCTCTTCCTGTGCCGTTACCTTTGGCAAGTCTAACCTGTCCTAGGTTCAGCTCTTCTACTTATAAAGTGGAAACGGTAACACTTAACGACTTTACTGAAAGTTAGTGTGTTAGTGTAAGGGGTATTCTAACTAGTATCTTCATGGAAATAAGAACACGGCTTGGGATAAGTATTATCAGGAATCTGAGACACAATGAGCATTTTGACTGAGTAGAAATGAGACATTAGGTGGAGCACCAGCTCATGCCTATAATCCTAGCTGCTCGGGAGGCTGCGGTCTGAGGATCCCTGTTCAAAGCCAGCCCAGACAGACAAAGCCAAAAGACTTACCTCCTACTAACCAGGGAACATCTGAAAGAGGTAGAGATGTGCTAGCCTTCAAGTGGATGTACTAGCCTTCAGCAAAAAAAGCTCATCAGGGCCAGCATCAGGGTCCTGAATCCAAGCCTCATTACTGGTACACATACACCCCCCCCCAAAACAGTTAAAATGAAAAAGGCTCACTGACAAACTATATCTACTTATTCCTTTCAGCAGAAAATGTCCTGCTATCTCTTATTTACCAGGCTCTGTGCCAAGTTCTAGCTTGAGACTAGAGGTAAAAAGAAGAATAGAGAGGTGTGACCTGAATTTAGGGAGAATTTAGGCTAGCAGGACCAGTATGAATCTTGGGTTTTTTTTTTTTTATTATTAAGGTTGTTTTTTTTTTTTTAATGGTGATGGCTGGGAATGTGGCTTAGTGGTAGAGTACTTGCATAGCATGCATGAAGCCCTCAGTACCACATACACAGAAAAAGTTAGAAGTGGTTCTTTGGCTCAAGTGATAGAATGCTAGCCTTGAGCAATGGAAGCTCAGAGACAGTGCCCAGGCCCTGAGTTCAAACCCCAGGACTGGCTAAAAAATGGAGAAAAAAAAAAGAATGCTTATAAAGAAATATAGCATGGGGGCTGGAAAGGTGGCTCAATGGTAGAGTGCTTGCCTTGCATTCATGGGCCCTGGGTTCGATTCCTCAGCACCACATAAGCAAAACGAAAAAAGCCGGAAGTGACGCTGTGGCTCAAGTTTTAGAGCGCTAGCCTAGAGCTGAAGAGCTGAGGGACAGTGCCCAGGCCCAGAGTTCAGGCCCCACAACCGGACCCAAAAAAAAGAAAGAAAGAAAGAAAGAAAGCATGTATACATAGAATTTTAGTATTTACATGTTGTGCCAGTACTGTTCTCTTTTGAAAGGTAGACAAACTAATATAAATGTGTTAAAATTCTTCCTCTAATAAAACATATTTGGGTCATTTTTTGAGATTAACGAGCATAATGAAGTAGTAAATAAAAAACAAGTTATGATCTTTCAATTTGGTATACTGAAAACACTTAACTTCTGCCAGTTCTCCCTGCCTGAGTACCAAGAGGAGACCTTCACTGTGGCATTGTCTTTAGGCTGCTTTTCAGGATGCTGTCTGTATTTCCGGAAGGTCAGACTGGCTGGTCTGTGCAGTTAGATCTGTTATAGTCTGGATGCCACCTTTGAATTCGTCTCATGTATTTTTCTTCCCTTGAGATTCTTTGTATGCAGCTCACTGTTCTCTTTAATTTGCAGAAAATGTAAGGTCTGATACCGCAACTGAATAGAAATGATACTTTCTGAAAAAGCAGACCCCTGAGAATTGCATTGCTAAACTATAAAAAAAAGTTTTCTTTTTCCATGAAAGAAAAACTGGATTAATGACTACTTGGTGATTTAGATGAATGAATTGCAGATTTTTACTCCTTAGAATTGTATTAAGATTTGGAAATATTCTAACATCCGAGGCAAAATTATGCTTAGTTCCTTTTGTACCTCTTGCCAGGATAGAGTTCATTTCAAAACTATTTACATATCTTAAGATAAAAATCACTAAAATTCTAAATATGGCAGGACAGATAACCAGAGCAGCCTTTTCTAAGAGTGTCCCCTAAAGAAGAATCAAAGGAAAAGGTATCCATATTGCTGTGTGCAAGTGTGTTAGCCTCTTGTGTTTCCTAACAATTAAAAGGCAGTCTCAGCCGGGCACTGGTGACTCATGCCCAAAATCAGAGCTACTAAAAAGGACGAGATCTAAGGATTACCGCTCAAAGCCAGCCAGGACATTAAAATCATAAGACTCCTTCTCCAATTAATCTCCAAAACACCAGAAGTGGAGGTATGGCTTAAGTGGTAGAGCAGCAACTTTGAACAAAAAGCTAAGGAAGAGTTTGAGGCCCTGATGCAGGCAAGTGTGCATGCACACACACACACACACACACACACACACACACACACACACACACACACACACACACACACACACACACACACACACACAGCACAGCACAACACAGCACCACACCACCCCACACCACACACAAAAGCATACTGTCAAAACTAGATACCACTTCATGAATACCAAGATGGTTAAAAATCCAAAGGACAGTGGGGTGCCTGTGGCTCACATCTGTAATCCTAGCTCCTTAGGAGGCTGACATCTGAGGATCATGGTTCAAAGCCAGCCTGGGCAAGAAAGTCCATGGTACTCTTTATTTCCAAGTAAACATAAAAAAACCCTGGAAGTAGAGCTGGCCTTCAGTGAAAAATTGCTTAGGGACAATGCTCAGACCTTTAGATCAAGCCCCAGGACCAGCACAAAAAAAAATCTAAAGGACGGAAAATAAACGTTGGCAAAGATGTGGAAAAATTGGAACCCTTTTTCTCGGTGGTAGGATGTGACATGTTGCAGTCTCTGTGAAAACTTGGCAGTTCCTTGAAAAGTTAAACAATTACATACGAACAGCAATCAACTCCTACACATACACTCAAAAGATTTGGAACAGGAACCTAAGAAACGGTATGCCCGTATCCACAGCTGCATCACTTACAGTGGGCAAGAGGTGGAAACAGCCAGCCAGGGTTTGAATGTGGTGTGACCACTGATAAAGAGTTCCCGAGCTAGAGTCCCAGGTCTGAGTGTGGTGTTTTTTTGTTTTTTGTTTTTTGATCGGTTGTGAGGCCTGAACTCTGGGCCTGGGCGCTGTCCCTCAGCTCTTCAGCTCAAGGCTAGCGCTCTACCACTTGAGCCACAGCACCACTTCCAGCTTTTTTCTTTTTGCTTACATGGTGCTGAGGAATTGAACCCAGGGCCTCAGGCATGCAAGGCAAGTACTCTACCACTGAGCCACCTTCCCAGCCTGAGTGTGGTGTTTTTGAGGGGTGGAATCATTCAGAGGTTAGGGACTAGCCTTATTAGGCAATGCTTTCATGGGATGAGCTAGATCTTAGAGAGAGGTGGCAGCTCCACTCCTTGGCTCCTGCTTACAGCCACCTTTCCTCTCTGTTTCTCTGCCATGTTGTGGCATTAGGTCTTCCCCAAAGCAGAGGCTGTTGGCCTCCCTGATCTTGAACCTCCAAACTAGAACTAAATAAATCCCTGTGCCCTTGGCATTTTGTTGTAGCAGCAGCAAACGGGAATAGCCCACGTGCCCAACAGGGAATGTGTAAACAATGTGATACAAATGTGCAGTGGAGTATTACTCAGCTCTAAAAAGTAATGGGGTTTTGACATGTGATCCACTATGAGTGAGCCTTGAAATTGTTATCTTGAGTGAACAAAGCCTACCACAAGAGGATTGTTTTATGATTCTACTTACGCCAGGTATCTGGAGTGGTCAGATTCATGGAGATAGTTGATGAGAGGTAAGCAGGGGCTTTGGTGAGAGAGGAATGGGGAGGAGAACACCTGCTTTCTATGGATTGGCAGCGACGGTGGTCATGGTGCGTACGTCACATGACTGATACCACCAAAGGATACAATTCAAAGCATGGAAATGGCAACTTTCTTATTCCACTTCCACAGTAAAAAGCCCAATGAAAACAGCTCGTTCTTCACTGTTTTGCCCCACAAAGTAAATTGAGGCGACTTTGTAATACATTCCTGCCAGCAGTTACTAATTTGGAGAATGCTTTAGAAAGAGCTGTTGACTGGTTATTTTGGCAAAGGTCTTTGAAGCCCCGCAGAGCTGCCCTTATACCCGTTGGGCAGCTGCAGTCCTCACTGAAGCGTACAATGTGTTCTTTCTCATGGTTTTTCTGTTTTATATCAGCTTCTGAAAAGTATATCACATTCCATTATTATCTTTGAGCAGTATACATCTGTCACATCTATAAATAACGTGCAAAACAAACATTGAATTGAACAGAAATTCAACAATCCAGCTTTGGCTAACTGTATTATAATTAGAGTAATGATAATGTCTGATGTGCACATAGCAATCACCATGTATAATTACTGGTAATTACCTTCAAGAAAAGTACTTGGCAGCAGATAGAAAGGAATCTAGTAAGGAACCTAAATTTAAAAGCACATCTTGAGTTTTGTTGTTTTTAGTTATTAATATGAAGAAAATATAGGAAGTCAGTCATTACAGACTCATTAAATTTTATAGCCCTAGATTTAGAATTGTGGAAAAAATAAAAATGGGTATACTGTTTGGAATTATGAGACCTATCTTGGCTTTCCAGCTTAATTATTTAACTAGGTTATTGAACTTCTCTATGCTTCTGCTTCATCTCCTAATTGAAGTTACTTAATAGGATGGTTGAGTCATATTTGTGAGCCACTGTGTTTAAAAATGTTTCACATTAATTTTTATTCTAGAATTTCCTGTAGGAACC